CCTGGTCCCATATGGAGTGGGTGTAGCCCGTGGAAACTAGAGAACTGTGAGGTAATGCTACCTGATGGTCGGYAGAGGAAGACCACACACCATTGAAATGCTTACCACAAAGAGCATGGATCTGAGAGATGAATTGCGAACACAATGAGATCAACACCTGGAAGACCTTGTCYAGGTGCCCCTCTCCGATGATGACCCTGAGAAGACGGTCCAAGTAGAATCCATCMTAGAAGGCCGCCTTCGAGATAACATTGTGCAACTCCTCAAGGACAACAACCGATGTGTTTGCCTGGTTAGCAATTGACATGCAAAGGATTGACCCCAAGGTCATCRCCCATCGGCTGAATACCGACTCGTGAGGCAGAAGAAGTATAAAAACTACTCAACGCCGGCTTYGTCCGAGAAGTGGCGTATCCAAATTGGCTAGCGAACGTGGTAATGGTCAAGAAGGCCAATAGAAAGTGGAGGATCTGCATCGACTTCACTAACTTGAACAGAGCTTGCCCGAAAGACAATTTCCCCTACCAAGGATCGATAAGCTCATCAATGCAATGGTAGGTCATGGGATCCTAAGCTTCATGGATGCCTTCTCTAGTTATAATCAAATCCAAATGCACCTAGATGACTAGGAGAAGACGACCTTCATCACTGACCGAGGACTTTCTTGCTACAAGGTTATGCCCTTTGGCTTGAAGAATGCCGGTGCCACCTATCAGAGGCTGGTGAATCACATCATCAAGGAACAACTTGGCCGAAACGTGGAATCCTATGTGGATGGCATGCTAGTGAAGAGAAAGAAAGATGAGCAGTACCTGGCCGATCTAAAGGAGGCCTTCGACACTCTTAGGAAGTACTAGGTGAAGCTGAAACCGACGAAGTGCGCCTTCGGGGTTGGCTCTGAAAAAGATCTGAAAAAGATCCAAGCCATCCTAAACATGTAGTCGCCACATACATACAAAAAAGTGCAACGCCTCATTGGACGTGTAGTTGCGCTGAGTAGATTCATGTCAAAGTATGCACCGGTGTTTCCTTAAAGAACTAAAAAAGGTAAAGGAATTCCAGTGGACCAATGAATGTGAATAGTGCTTCCAGGATTTGAAGTGCTACTTGAGCTTGCCACCCCTGCTCACAAAACCAAGCCCGAGAGATCAGCTCCTTCTCTGCCTGTCAGCTAGTGATGAAGTGGTCTGTTCGGTCCTAGTAAAGGAGGAAGGCCATACCCAAAGCCTGATCTCTTACACCAGTAAGACCCTCACAAGTGCAGAGACATGGTACTCGAACCTGGAGAAAGTTGCCTTGGCTCTCATCACCTTGGCGAGGAAGTTCAGGTTGTACTTCACATAGCGCCTAAGTACTCACCGGCCAGCCACTCAAGCAGGTCCTACAAAGGTTGGGGATATCTAGGTGCCTGATCAAATGGAGTGTGGAACTGAGCGATTTTGACATTGATTATGCACCTTGGCCCACCATCAAAGCCCAGGCCCTAGCCGACTTCCTGGCTGAGTGCACTTTCTTAACATAGAATCCAGTTGAAGTCCCACTAACTTGGACACTCCATGTAGACGGGCCGTCCAATCGACAAGGTAGAGGCATCGGGTTCATCCTCCTTGGCCTAGACAACACCATCATGGAGCACACCCTAAGATTCGAATTCAAGGTTTCTAACAATGAGGCAGAGTACAAAGCCCTTGTAGATGGACTTCGGCTCGCCCTAGACATCAGAGCGAAGCATGTGGAAGCCTTCAATGACTCCCAACTGGTGGTCAATCAAGTCACTGGTCAGTTTGAAGCAAGAGATCCCACCATGGGAAGTTACCTGCAAAAAATGCAAGGGTTCATCAGATAACTTGAGCTCTTTGCCATATAGTAGATCCCTAGAGCCGAGAACATCTGAATTGACGCATTATCAAAGCTTGCTAGCTTGCCACATGCTGGACTCTACACCACAGTCTTAATGGACACTCTAGTGCAACCCAACATTTTAGAAGCCACTCTGATAGTTCTCATCATCCAGTAAGAGCCATCGTGGATGGCCCCATCATACGGTACCTCCAGGATGGCGCCCTCTTGGCAGACTGAACTGAGGCAAGAAGGCTTACACACAGGTTGGCCCGATATTGCCTCATCCGAGGCCAACTCTACCCCTGGTCGCACACTCTCCCCTACCTAAGGTGTCTCCCTCCAATAGAGACCGACTATGTCAAGGATATACACGAGGGTATCTGCAGATACCACCTCGATGCATGGACACTAGTGTATAAGGCACTCCGACAGGGCTACTTCTATCCCACCATGAAGCAGGATACAACCCACCTTGTCTGAAGGTGTGACCATTGTCAGAGGCACTTGAATCTAGTGGCTCCCCTTATGCCCATTCCTAGTTCATGGCCTTTTGCCCAGTGGGGGATGGACATCTTCAGAGCATTCCCCACCACGACCGGGTAAAAGAAGTACCTCATTGTCACGGTGGATTATTTCATGAAGTGGGTGGAGGTTGAGCCCTTGGCATGCATCAGCATGCAGAATGCCCAAGGCTTCCTATGGAGAAGCATTAACTGCTATTTCGACATCCCTTGAATCCTCATCATTGGCAGCGACACCCAGTTCATCGACCAAAAGTTTGAAGCCTTCTGCACAAAGATCATTATAGATCATCGGACCATGGCCGTTTATCTACAACAGAGTAATGGACAAACTGAGGTGACTAACTGAACCCTGCTCCACGGTCTAAAGACTAGACTCGACAAGGCCAAGGGCAGATGGGTCGAGGAACTGCCAAGCATCGTCTAGGCCTACAAAACCACACCACGCACGGCTACTAAAGATAGCTCATTTAGCGTAGCATTCAGAGCCGAAGCGGTGATCCCTGTAGAGATTGATTTCCCTACTCTTCGGACCAAGCTCTACAACGACAAGATGAACAATGAAGATCTCTGCGCAGAGCTCGACCTACTATAGGAAGCTCGCGATCGAGCACACATCTGGATGGCAATGCAGCAATAGAGGATGGCCAAATACTGTGACGCTAAAGTCCAGAGCAGAGCTACCCGGAGACCATGACTAGCCCAGTTAGAGCGTAAGGCTCTCTAAGACCAGGTGCTACCAAGCTCCATGAAACTATCGAGAAATTGGAAGCACCTCGACCAGCATAAGATCAAGGCCATGAAGTCCCACCTAGCATCGAACCCAAGACCTCGGCTAGCATAAGACCGAAGCCATGAAGTCGAAGACCTTGGCCACCTAGAATCAAATCCAATACCTCAGCCAACATGAGACCAAGGCCATAAAGTCGAGACCTCGAATAGTATAGAAGCATGACCTACAGATCCTATCGACCAACCTAATTCCGAAGTGCAACAACTTAGAAAAAGGGGAAACAACATAGAAAGTGCTTGGTAAAAGGCCACATTTCCATTAATAACGAAAGTTGGTACATTTCTTCTAAGCTCGACATACCGAACTGTATACAACAAAAAAAATAGAGCACATCAACTGTCCATTGGAGGATCCTCGACTCGCTCCTGGACATCAACAAAAATGATATCCCAATTAGGATCTTTAGCATCAAACGGGCTGAATCCCTAGACGACTTCAGCCACCTCCAGGAACTAACGCACCACCCTCTGCTGATAGAGGGCGAATCCCTCCTGTTAGGAGTTGATAGCGTAGTTGTCCAACTCGTTCTAATGAGCCTTCGAAGCTCTATAATCTGAGATGCCCTCTTCCTTCGCCTGAGCAATCCTCACCTTGGCCCCATCAAGCTCTCTCCTCAGCACATCTCGGGCCACATTCAGATCGTGGACGCAGCTCTTCAACTTATGGACAGTATCGTCCATCTCCTTGATGCCACACTGTAGCTCAGCCAACTCCGCATTCAGCTAGACATTCTCTATCTCTCACGACTCGTAAAGCTGAACTCACCGCCATGGCTTGATGAATAGTCGTGCTCTCCAAGAAGTTGCTGGTGTGACTATTGACTTCCCTCCTGATGTCGGAGAGCATCACATCCTGGGAACGTTGCTCGGCCACCCCTTCTAGTCTGTCTCTGGGGTGTCCTCCGACCGGACCGACCACTGTGGCATGTACACATCAGTCAAACCCTCAGCAGTAGCGCACCATAGAGCATCCCTCTACGATGACGACCACCCGAGCTGAGCCATGGCCTCCTTGGAGTCGACCACCATAACCTCTTTCGTCGACCTCAGCCTCTTCCCTTGCCGAGGTGTGCCTTCTACCAAGTTCCATTGAATCTCTTTGGCCTCGGGCTGCATACTTGAAGTCCTAGCCGCTTGTGCCTTCCTTGTAATCACGACCTTCATACGCTGAGCTCTCTCTTCAACACCAACCATGTTCGAGTCTACACAATTCATCACAGTTAGAGAAGCTAAAAAAAAAAAACAAAAAAAAGCAAAGAAAGACCGCACAACCCATAGACCGGACTGAGATTGATCGACCGAAGAGCACATAAACCCATCCATGGTCAACAATCGGGGCGATGTATAATCCCCGATGTGCACTAGCACTATCTTCCTCACAACAACTATCTCCTCCTTTGATAGCTCAGTTTGGAAGGACCCTTATCGTTGGTCCTTGGAACATACAGGGCAAAGGAGAGTGGACAACCTTCTTGGCACTTCACAAAGAAAAAACCCTCTTTCTAATGCTAAATGAAAGAGGGAGCCCTAACAAGCACCTTGGTGTTCGACCCGGCCGACAAGTAGTAGCACCCCTGCTTATGCTTCTTCAAGTTGAGGAAATACCTAAACGTAGGGTAATCTTTATGTCCTTGAGAGTTCAGTAGCAGAGCAGCCCAACCAGGTACTGAAACGAGTTCACCATCAGCTGAATGGACAAGACTCGATACCACTTCAAGACGACCACTACCCCGAGATCTAAAGGGAACCTAAGGCCGGCTATCAAACTATGGACATACACAAATCTCCCCAGGACGAGCCGAATTGGTCCTCTCCAAAATCCTAGGACACCTCAGCTCATAGTCCTTAGGAAGCTGAGGCAAACCGCTCTTCAGACTCCACATTGGCCTCGGCCACCTTGTTGGCACCAATCTCTCGGACCTCAGCCTCACCCTCATCATCGACCTCAACCACATTGGTGTCAGTCTCCGACATCCTAACCTTGGTTGCCTCGCATCGAGGACTACCCTCACTATCATTCCCCAAGGTGTACCTAGTGAAAAGGGAAGACAAGGAAGACAAAGAGAAAGACATCTTACCGAAGAAAAAAAAGTTTGGGACACCTGAGATATCAATCAAGGGACGTTAGCTGAACTCCAAGGAACCAACCCTTCTCAAATGACAAAGGGAAATGGCTCGCCTACCCCCTTTTTGTAAAGGCAACCAACGGATCAAATTAAACCAGATCAATGGCGCCAATTCGACCTTGCAATTCACACGTGTATAGCCTTAGGAAAATGAAACGACGCATCTACCAACCCGTCCTAAAAATGGCATGAGCGTTGAACCAGCTAGTTTGCCTAGCAAACTGGCCTTACTCTAGGCTAGTCAACTCGAGGAAGATTGGACCCAATAGATCTCTCTATAGTGATTGGCACTGTTGTTTAGATTCAACAAAGTTCCCAAAAAAAAAGGGACCGTACAACATCAAAAGTACCCCCTTTGGTTCCAATAGGACACGAATTGGTTTGAATTTGATGGCTCCCTAATTCTTTGGTTTGTGCTCATAATTATGGTTTGTGCTTGAATTGGAAAATTGGATTCCTTTTGACAATGTTACGATGCTCATAATTCTTTGGTTTGTGCTTGAATTGGAAAATTGGATTCCTTCTAACAATTATTAGTTGCAGAATTTCAAAGTCATTTTCCGGACAAGGATTGGTTCTTAAAAGATATATTCTTTTAATAGAGGTGTAAATCGTGTCCCCACCTGACCCGAATTTGGGCCAGCCTGATACAACGGCATGCGAATCATGCCAGGCCTGACATGATGGTCTAGGCCTTGTTGGGCCTGGGGTTCCAGATTCATGGGCTGGCACGGCACGGTATAACTGTGTATGCCATGCCGCTCACAGCCCATGTGCCAATACTGCCCAATTTGCGCTGGTCAATGGATCACTCATCGATTCAACGATTTTTGAACAAAGATCAGGTTTGGGGTAAAACAGAATCAATTGCCTGAACAATTTTTAGGCTGAATGGTCTGATCCTTTGAATCAATGGCGGTTCAAAAACATTATTTCCTATTAAATCAGTATTTTCAACTTGAAAAAGAGACATGGATGGGATATGGAACCCAAGATCCCAATCCCCCAACAAACAACAAGTATACAATTAGATGGGGCTCATCTCGACATGCTTCCAAGTTTTGTTCATATCTTCCCTGGCATTAATTGCAGCATTGATTGCTTGCTAGAAACATTATGAAAGCATATAGGAAGATATCTTGTGGTAGCAATGGTGAACTACAATACACTAAATTTTGTACACTTGGGGCCGTAAACATTGTGACCATGATCTTAATTTGCAACATTTACTATTTAATTACAAAATACAAGCATGGAGTGTTGGGATCTGCTGCCAACAACATACATTCTAACACCCTACCATCAGCATGATTGACACTGCACATCTCACCATTAGACTGGGATCCATCATAAAAGGGAGGCCCGCCATGTATGGGATGCATGGTGTCAAATAATATTGCATGGTAGGGTGTTGGAACGTGTTTTATTGGTGAAATCGGATCTAGTAGGCACAATATAATAAACACCTTCAATGAGCACTTGATAAACATTCTAACAAGTGTCAATCATGGTTAATCTTTTTCAAGGGTAGGCTGGAGATATATTAAGAGACGGGTGTAAAAAAAATTCTAAATGATCATTGAACAAACTTACAACTTTGTGCCTACAGCTCAGTTTGGAAGGAGTATAAATACAAATATGTAGAGTACAAACCTTATATTTTGCATTATTTTGAATGTATTTGCACTGTACATATTTGTATTTGTACTCCTTCCAAACTGAGCTTATCTGATTAGGACAGTTTGTTGGCAGGAGATCCGGGCTCAAGTATAGGGGTGCCATCAAATTGAAGGGATTTTTGGAATGTATTCCCCTTCAGAAATCTTTTTTGCAGCCCCCTCCTATTAACCACATTCTACATGTGAATTTGGCATCAATTCACGGGCAGTATTCAGAACACCCCTCGGTGTAATTAAGATTTCTTAGGGGTGGACTGAATCATAAAAATCCTTAATTTGAATTAGATTTAATCATAAAAATCCTTAATTTGAATTAGATTTAATCTGTGAACTTTACGTACGTTAAATTAGGAATATTGGTTTAGAAATAGAGTGGATATGCAAGGAAATAAAATGAGATACACAATTGATAGATGCATTTCAAAAAGAGAGAAAGAAAAACCCGTGGATGTATTCATGGAACACAGCTCACAATCACACTAGTACAATTTCTGCTTGGCAAAGGAAATTATGTACATCCATGAAGCAAGAGGGTACTAACTATGCATAAATAAAGGGATTTAAAAACATAAGAGATAAAAGAATTTAAAAGAGGCGAACTTGATCAGGAAGAAACCAGAAGTAGATGAGGATTTGCTAATATTAGGCGAGGAAGAAACCACAAATATGTGGGGATTTGCATTTATATTCTTTTCAAACTATGTTTTATAAAGAGTACAGATACAAATATATACGTACAGTGCAAATGTATACAAAACACAATGTTTTGCACTCTATACTATATATTTGTATTTGTACTTCCAAACTGAACCTAAATGAAAGTGATAAATACTTTTTAATTAACACTTTGTATTAAAAGGGAAAAGTAAAACACTCTAACAAGCATTAGATCCTGCTGCTTCAAGTAATTTCATTCAAATAATAACAACGGAAATTTAGATTTCAGTCCACCTGACGGATTTTATTGGGCTTCTGGGTTTTATTTATCAATAACTCCACCACCTATGATTCATTGCCCCCTCCCCCACCTCCCCCGAAATTTGATTCATTTCTGACGCTAATAAGTCCCAAACTTTTTCACTAAAAGACAAATCGTCCCACTCATCAGTCTTGTCAAAGTTATCCCACTGATAAGGGTTCCCACCCTCTATAGTTGGTTGCACTTGAACTGAAGGTCCACATCTTTCTGACCCACGGATAATGGGGCAGGTGGTGTCCATATGATCACTTTCATCTAAGACACTCTTCCACCATTGCATGAGATCGTCTGTAGGCGGTGGAAGATCAGGAGTTGTCTCGTTAGGCATTTCTCCTGATCGATTATTTGTGCCCACAGTTGTAGAATTATCAGAGGCCGCCTTGCTAAGAATTTCTCCTCCTGATTGGCTCGTAACGCCCTCACTGGTGGAATTATCAGCCAATGGTCTGAACCATCGAGAGCTTTTTGACAAAGTACGAGGCTGAGGCCTGATAGCTTTGAACTTCTCAACTGTGCTGTACTTCGCTTTCTCTTCTTTTTTTGGGGCAAGCTTATTCTTGCTCAACCGCGTTTTGCAATAATTCTTTATGCCGTTCGCTGTTCTTCCGGGAAGTCTGCCGGCAATTAACGACCATCTGTGAAAAGAAAGAATTAGTTCCCAAGTAAAGTTCCATCAGCCTAGTCTCTAAGCGGACTCTTTCGGTGCCATTTCAACAGTACTAGTGCAACTTGAACCAGTAGCAATTATTGGCCTATAATATAATCTTTGCATTTTCAATATTGGACTTTCTAGCAAGGCTTTCTGTTGATTGTACCCCGGTTCAGTTTAACAATGAACATGTGTTGGGTCAGAGTGCAAAACTAAACTTTGCATTGCATCAATTACCACAATGTTTGTGTCTACATATTTGTATTTGCACTCTTCTGGAACGTTTGTGAACTTCTTAAATGGCTGTAAAGAATGTTGGGTTGACTTACTGTACCCCAAATATTGCGATTAATCATTAACATTTTTACCCACTAAAATACAAAGCCAATAAATCATTCAACTCAGCCGCTTCATCCATAACCAAATAGCCCCCTAAACTTACCTACCTACCTACCTCTCTCTCTCTCTCTCTCTCTATCTATCTTTATCATATTCTTAGGCCCTGCTTGGATGCCTACTACGATGGGATAATTTCATTTTCCTTTTGCAGCTTTTCCATTAGAATGAATATATGTTAAGAATTCCTTGATATGTAAAGAAGAACCAGAATGAATAATTTGATTTCATGTAACATTCAAACAAAACACCCTGCATTAAACGACTTTGGAATTACCTGTTCCCTAAGAGCTTATGAAACCTGATAATCAGATCAACTTCATCTGAACTGAACTCCCCTCTTTTGATACCCGGCCGGAGATAGTTCAACCATCTAAGCCTACAGCTCTTTCGACATCTATTCAGCCCTGAAAATGCAATAACAATAACAATCAAGAAAGGTTGAAGAAAGAAGAAACAAAGAAATATATATCGATCATCAGATAAACCATGGACGAAGAACAAATAAACAGTGTAGGTAGGTAAGTACCTGCTCTAAGAGGAACCTTACACCACTTGCCTTCTCCATACCTCTCAATGCATTTCCTTAGAAGCATATCTTCTTCTTCAGTCCATGCACCTTTTCTCAAACCCAAACCACCATCCATAACTTTAGAAGATCATGTCATGTTCTACAACTTGCAATGCCATCAAAGCCATTTATTTATATTCTCGTTTGGATACTTCCAGGCTTACAAACTCAGCTACGTGCACAAAGCTCAATCACATGTGATCAGGAATAATGCCTACATTTAGCTTCTCTGTTTCTAATAATTAAAAACATAAATAAGTACTTATTATTATATTATTAAGTATCAACTACCAGTCATAACCTTCTCCACTTATCTCCCTAGCTTCAGCTAGATTAAACCCACATGAGGAAAATACTTGGTTGAGCAAAGAATAAAAAGTGAGGAGGTATGGCTTCTCTGTTTCTAATTAATTGCATGGACATTTTAGCCAGGGTATCTGTATGCCAAATGCAAATTGTCCATCAAAAGATATCTTTGATTTTAAGAACAAAGATTTTAAAAAATAAAGGGATAAGTACTCTCAACTCAGCTCAGATTAGGGTAGCCCCCCAAGGATTCATATCCTGTAAGGTGGGGCTAAAGAATTCTGAGTTGGGCTGATCAGTCATTGTCTCATAAAAAGGGGGAAAATTCCACTTTAGTATCCTGAACTTTGGGGGTAATGTCAAGTCAGTACCCAAACATTCAAACGTGTCACTGCAGTACTTAAACTTTTAAAAAGTGTCAAGTTGGTCCCTGCAGTTAACCAACCAATCGTTTATCTGTTGGAAATGCCAAAACTATCCTTCAAAAGAAGATATTGTTCATTGTCTTCTACCTTGAGACTAAACCATTTATATACCTTGGAAGAAAAAGAGAGCAAAAACATGAAATATGATAGAGGGAAACAATAACGGAATGTAAAGAAATAACTAGACAAGAATTTGTTTCAGATCTAAAGGTAGAAGACAATGACTTCATTAGTCTAGAATCTCAAACATGTCAACTTATTCAGTCTCAAGGTAGAAGACAATGAAGTGTCTTCTTTTGAAGGATAGTTTTCACATTTTCAACAGATAACTAACAATCTGTTAATGATAGGGACCAACTTAATTGATACTTTTTGAAAGTTTATGTGCTACAGTGACACATTTGAAAGTTTGGGTACTAACTTAACACTGCCTCCAAAAGTGAAATTTTTCCAAAACAAAAAAAAAAGAAAAGTCAACAACTTGATCAGAGGTGAAGATGTATCTGTCACCTTCATATCTCGTTTTGGTAACTTTGTTCTTCATAAAGTAAAAATTGATTACTAACAGTATTTGGTAACCAGAATGAAAGAATTCGATGTTGTTCATTATGTTGTGCAACAATGAAGCTTGAGGTAGAAAAATTATCAATTTCATGGTGTAGTGATGGAGCCCATGTATATAAATTCTGTAGTTACAAAATTAAGCAATAGAGTGATATTCAGTTTCCATAGACAACCTTGCAAAGATAAATTGTTTAGTAGAGTTCTACGAAATTTACTTGGGTGAAGAAATAAAGCATAACTGGTGCTCAAATTTTCTATCATCTATGCTGGAATGAGATTTCATTCCCAAGGAACAGGACAAACAAGATTATTTTCCTTAAGGTGTACCCATCATGGCTCTTGCCTCCCAACACATTCACTTAGATATACTATTAATGCATGGTTTCTCAACTGTCATGTGATTCCAACAAGGCCAAGTCATTGGCAAGGGACCGGACTAGACAATATCTCTGAATTCTAATTATTGAATAAGGCCAACAAATACATGCAAAAACTGATAAGGAGTGGGATTCGTTTGGAAGCTGCCTACAAGATTAAGAAGTAATGCCAGTCTAAAGCATGCTTCCAATGATTAGAAATAGGGTTGATAGTCAATTGGTGATTTTTATCTGTTATTTGTTGATGAGGGGTGATTTGGCCCAATCTAGTAAATAAAGGACATGTGGACACGACCTGCTAGTAGGATGACAATTCAACAAGAAGAGCCTTGTTAGCAGTTCGGGAGCCGGGGATTTCAGGCACCTCGACACCAAGGTCACACGTAATCAACTCCAAAAACTTCTTAGCGGATTTTGAATCTCCTAGGATCACGCCGCATAACGGCAGGCCTTATCATCTCCCCACTTGGATCGGGCAGTAACGATAGACTTCATTGACTGGTACGTTAATCTCCTTCTAAAGCAGAACAGATCCCATCCACAAGGGCCAAGGATCTCAAAGCCATTTCGTGAGACCCACGGCAACTCAACTATATAAGGACGTCAACCCCTCCATGACCTAGGTATGCACGATTAAGTGCATTCTAGCTCTCCTATTTCTCAAACTCTCAGCTCGTGTATTACTATTACTGACTTAAGCATCGAAGCGACCCCGCCGGGTTAGCCACCCCGAGTTCTCTAATTCCTCATTTTCTTTGTAGTTCGAGTGACCTACTTGGCAACAGATGTCCGAGCTGCCTTACAGCTAGGAGCATCCATATAGCACATCATCAATTGGCGTCGTCTGTGGAAAAACAATCGAAAGGTCATTTCAATCCCAGCCTAAATCTCAACCTCATTTTCACTCTCAATGGCATGTTCCAGCAATACCGGATAGGGTCTCGACATGAGCGTCACCGGGGGGCAAGAGCAACAAACAACCATCAATTGGCGCCGTCTGTGGGAAGGAGCTGGTGGAGCGCGAGGAGACTCTCAAAAGAGAGAACGAGAACCTCGAGGGGTTGGTGAAGGAGTAGACTGACATTCTGCTTGGGGAAATAGAGGAGACCGAACTTTGGAGTCAAGATACTCCGAGCTGAGGTGTCACCACTCGAGGGGGTGGCCACTTGAGTGTGCTAGGGCTCGGAAGACGTGATCTCCTCGGGAAGGTGGGGTAGAGAAGCTTTACCTTGGTCCTCCTCGACCAAGTTGATGACTGGTGGCTGCTCGGCAATTGGAGGATGCTTGGGGACGGCGGTGCCGTTGTTGGAAGTAGTGGTGCCTTCATGGAGACGAGCCTTTTTGGAGGCCCTCTTCTTTTTCCCCTTCTTCATGCTCCCGAAGAGTTCGTCAGCAGGGATGTCAGCCATGGAAGCTGCAAAAGGTGACGAATAGGGTAAGTCAAAAGATCGAAATAAAACATTACGAAGAAAGCAAGTACAACAATTGTGATGATGACCTACCAAGAGGACTTAGCCCGACTTGTACGAGCTTTTCTTCAGTCACGAAGTTCTCAAACTTCAGCTCGAGCTTCACCCAAGATCGGACTTCCTCCTATGTATTTTGGTCCAATCTGACACCGGGGTCCTGGATAGCAAGCCTCCAGTGAGTTGGAAACGGCCACCTTGCAGTGTTACGGACTACAAAATAACGCCTCTTCCAGGCCGGGACTTTGTTTGGGAGCTCGTACAACAGTTTGTACCTAGGGCGAGGAGACATATAATAGCTTCGCCTATGCTCGGGGAGAACACAGGCTGAATTTTTCTTTATGGATAAGATCGAGGAAAAGGTGTCGAGGTCTAAGGGTCGGTTATAATCATGGAAAAGGGAGATGGTACCTACAATGTTACGAATCGAGTTGGGATGGAGCTGGTCTATGGCGAAGTCGAAGAATTTGACGATCTTGACTATGAAGGGATGAAGTGGGAAACGCAGCCCGGCTACGAGCTGCTCCTCGAAGACCACGATCTCGTTATGGTCGTCATCCCAAGGAAAATTGCCCAAGGGAATAAGAGCCTATCCGTTGTCATTAAAGATGGGCTGAAGTTGTTCGGCAACCAACCCCGACGCGAAGTGGAGGCCAACCTGCCGGAAGCCTTGCGTTCTTGCCGAGGTGAGTTCGCCTCGGATGGGTTGGAGTCCACATCCTGTGTTGAGGTACCCACATCGAGAGGATGAGACTCCGCGGCCTGCACCGAGGTGCCCACCTCGGCCCCAGTAGACTTGCCACTCCCATCTAAAAGGCTATCTAAACTAACATTAGACATGCTATGCTAAAGGAATATGACAATGAAATTGGAAGCAAGGGAAAGCGAACTCACCAAGAAGATCGAAGAAAGCAGGACGACCTCGGACGTGGGGATAGTTGACACCGAGCTGAGAGACATGGACGTGATCTCAAGAAACTCAATTACGCGGTTTGTGGCGAGGAAAATGGGCCCTTCAGCCCCTATTTATAGCCACCATATCCGAGGTTCAACGGCCAAGATAAGCATGATCCGACAACTCCTATGAAAACCGGCTGCATGCCACCTGAGGTTGAAATAAGTTGAGCATGTGTTTTGACGTCTGCGGAGTTTATAAACGGTGTGACATCCGCACGTACCTGATATGCGATATGGGTCATCTCCTGGTCGAGCCAAATGGTTGTATAGGTCCGACCAAAGAACCTCCCTCTGCACCACCTAGACATCGTGCCAAATCCACATGGGCTCGTCATGAACTCCCCAAGCCGGGTCAGGACCCCTGGCACGAGGAGTGCGGGGCAATTGATGAGGGGTGATTTGGCCCGACCTAGTAAGTAAAGGACATGTGGACACGACTTGCCAGCAAGATGACAACTCAGCAAGGAGAGCCGTGTTAGTAGTTCGAGAGCTAGGGAGTACCTCGGCACCAAAGCCACTTTGGTACCCGAGTACCGAAGTGACACGTAATCGACTCCAGAAGCTTCTCAGCAGATTCTGAATCTCCCGGGATCACGCCGCATAATGGCAGGCCTTATCCTCTCCCCGCCCAGATTGCGCGATAATGATAGACTTCATTGAATGGTACGTTACTCTCGTTCTAAAGCAGAACGGATCCCATCCACACAGGCCGAGGATCCCTGAGCCGTTTTGTGAGACCCATGGTAGCTCAACTATATAAGGACATCAACCCCACAGGACCCAGGTACATGTGATGAAGTGCATTGTAGCTCTCCTATTTCTCAAACTCTCAGCTCGCGTATTACTATTACTGACTTAAGCATCAGAGCGACCCCGCTGGGTTAGCTACCCCAGGTTCTCTAATTCCTCATTTTCTTTGCAGTTCGAGTGACCTAGATGGCAATAGATGTCCGAACTGCCTTATAGCTAGAAGCATCCAAA